GCGTTTGTTTTGCATTTCTTTTTACACAGAATGGATTTTAAAACATTCATTGCACATATCAAATCAATGTTGTACTTTTTTTTTTTTTTTTGGTCCTGTTCTCATAGTCTCAACGTGTTTTTTTCAACTTCCACAAGTCCTAATTTAACGTGTTCAATGTAGTGCGACATTGTGCCACAACATGCATGTGGGCAGCACAAATCTCTACTGGAAGTTATGCGCTGTAATTAAGAGCAAGTCGTTGTTCCTACAGAGCAGAGTATATACACTGGTGACATGATTGTTATATGCCCTGTTTGTATTTGTTTGCTCTGTGTTTGTTTAAGTTGGAATTTCTGTGTTTTTTTCAACTTCCACAAGTCCTAATTTAACGTGTTCAATGTAGTGCGACATTGTGCCACAACATGCATGTGGGCAGCACAAATCTCTACTGGAAGTTATGCGCTGTAATTAAGAGCAAGTCGTTGTTCCTACAGAGCAGAGTATATACACTGGTGACATGATTGTTATATGCCCTGTTTGTATTTGTTTGCTCTGTGTTTGTTTAAGTTGGAATTTCTTAATTACTATAAAATCAAAACACATTTCGGTTATTACCTCTTGGTTTAGTATTATATGTTCGCAATACAATAGCAAACATTCATTCGATTAAATCACATGTTGTGGTTGAATGTTTAGCTGTTTAAATATACAATGTACTGTTATTGTAATGCAAACAACTTGATTTTTTTTTAACTGCACTTATTTTTCACAGTTTAAAGTATTTATGTCTTATGTCTCCTTTTGTGTTAATTACCAGGTGTTAATTACCAGGTAAAACCCGGATATAATTAGAGCAAAGTTGATTGTTCAATTCAAATTACTGATAGAAAAACAAAAAAAGGGGGCAAAACTGTGCTTGCTATGCGCTGAGACAGAAGCGGCGAGCCGGGTCACCAGGCCTGTTTGAAGATACCACAGTTGTGCGCGCAAGAGTGAAACAGAAACTACTGTGTCGAAAGGTATCGATCTGATATTAATACTGACTTGGTATCGATGTTATCAATAATTGGATCGATTCACCCACCACAAATAGTTGCCTTTTTTGCCCAACTGTCGCCCAACAAGAATTGCACCCCCTCATTTAATTTCAGAAGTCTTGATTATTGCTTCTTTCAACGTTTGCGGTGGCAGAACACGCAGCGATAATTCACCCTATTAGCGGTGTGAATGTTAGTGGAGGGGCGAATCTGTCATTTGTCTCTCCCCCTCCCCTACGGAGCCGCAGCCGCGTGCGCCTGCCGATCAAATCGGCGCGGCGGCGGCGGCATGCCGGCCGTCTGCGACGCCCCGCGGACGGAGGCGGCAAGCCGGCGAGAAGCGCGCCTTCCCCATGGTCGCCTGCGCGCCACGTGTCGCGGTCTCTGCGGCGACTGAAGGTGTGCGGAGGAATGGAGCGAGGAGGACCGTTGTACTTTGGCATTTTTGTTTCAGTCGCGATTATAATCGAGCGTTCGGAGACAAAAGATCGACGAAGTAAGCGCCAAAAAACCCTTACTTCTTCCAGCCGCCATAAAGATAAGCGAATGGAATGATTCGGAAGCCTGTCTTGACGGGTGGCTGTGTGGTTGGTGGTCACGGGCGGGGAGGAAGGCGGCATCTGCGAGCAACAAATCTCTCTGCTTGCTCTCGCTCGCATTCCGATAAGGAAGCCCGAGTCCAGCTCGCTCGGGAGGCGTGGTTTTCCCAGGCTTTTAAAACAGCAGCTGCTATTTACCTTCGCCTCTAATGTAAACCACCGCAGCCGCAGCCGCCGCCACCGCTGCTGCCTCAGCCACGCACCCCGCACCCTCCTCACCTCTCCCCCCACTCTCGGGCTCCCCCTCCTCACCTCACCTCACCTCCCCTAGTCTACGGCCCAGCGGCCAAATCTCCACGCACCGTGCTCGTAAAACCAGCTTGGCACGTGCTCCAAATGCGCGACTCCATGCTTGATTAAATGACAAACATCTGTACAGGCTAGCGCACATAGTGCACAACTTGATTCGATTCCAGTCTCCCAGTAGGAATAAAGACGCACTTGTTGTGCAGACCTGCTGATTATACTTTATCCCACGTGTTTGCAAGCTGTGTTGCGCACCTAAAGAAGCATTCTTTTCATTTTGATTTTTTTTAGCAACACAATCCTCCTGTTTTCTCATGTTATCTGGGGGGAGGGACGACCTGCCACTGCACACAGTCACTCGCAGCTGTATTTTTTTTTAATTGACCATGAAGCAGGCAGACAATTTATTGGCACATTGGCATTGACTGTATTTAAAATATATGTTATGGTAACAGGCGACGTCTTTGTCTTGGGAAGGCGCACGCATTTTCTTTGGAATCTTGAGTTGAAAGAGTTCGTGAAACATTCTTAGATTAGCCGTAAATTGTATATATAGATATGGAGAAACTCTTATGATAGTTTGTCTAAAATTAGTAATATCGTTTTAATGGTCGAGTGGTGTTTGGGTGAAATGGACAACCTACTTTCTATTTTGAAAACAAATTGGAAACGTGGAATGGATGTTACTTTTGCATATTTTTTTTTGTTGCCAACCAGATATCTATTGACGTTTCGATTGTTGCCTTCAGGGGAATTAGACAGAAGACAACTTTTCAACGTTTTGAAAATCGAACAAGAGAAATAGGTTGCAATTTGGACAAATGACCACTTTACAGTGTTTCAAATAAAGCAGCCTACATTACAAATATATATTTTAAATCCTTTAATAGAAGTTAAGTAAACATCAACTTTGGTGGAACGTGTCGGCATGTTTTCTAATGTCAAAGCCGGGTGGGTGCTTGCGTATCGTGGACGTGTGCCGTGATTGTTTATCTTTGCGCTCCGGGAGCGAAAGGGTGCCTCGCCGCTCGCGCCTGCTCCCGTGCGGGTGCCCGCCGTGTGATGATTGAAGACTGGAAGGCAGTTTCCCGGCTGCGCCCTCAGCCCGGGCGGCGCGCCATTGGCCGCCAGCTGCGAGCCGCCACGCAGCCAATGGGAGGGCGCCGACCACGAGCCGTCCTCCCCCGGGCCGCGTGCGCCTCGTCCTGATTGGTGGGAAGTTAGTGTGGGAAAGAAAGTTTGGGAAGTTTCACACGAGCCGTTCGCGTGCGGGGCAAGATATAAATACACGCCACACGCAGACGCGCCGACACACGCAGACACACTCGCAGCGGCACGTCGCCCTCTTGGATTCAAACTTGGTGCACTGACGCGGGACTTCTTTTTTTCCCCACTTCCTTTTTGCATTGGTGGACCATATTTTGCTGCGTTTTGAGGGATAATTGATTTTGCCGTTAAGATGCCTGCCGACATGATGGAAAAATCGTCCTCTTCTCCGGTCGCTGCCACCCCGGCAAGCATGAATTCGACCCCCGATAAACCTAAAACAGCTTCCGAGCACAGAAAGGTGAGTTTATCGACACGAACCTCTTTCATATTGAGACACTTTAATGCGCCTTTTACTCACAATTTGAAGTTTATTAATGCCTCGTTCGTTATTTTCTCTTCCAAGTCTTCCAAGCCAATTATGGAGAAGCGCAGAAGAGCCCGTATCAATGAGAGTTTAGGCCAACTTAAAACGCTCATCTTAGATGCGCTCAAGAAAGATGTAAGTGTTCTCACTCCCGTGAGTTGGGAAGAAATAGAAAAAGCTGAACATGTGGAAGTGATCGCCAGGAGACCAACCGTGTGTTTCTGTGCCTTTCTCCGGCGCAGAGCTCCAGACACTCCAAACTGGAGAAAGCAGACATCCTGGAGATGACAGTGAAACATCTCCGGAACCTCCAGAGAGCACAAATGACTGGTGGGTTTCCTTTCCTCGGTGGATGCACTATCGACTCTTCCATTACACATTAAACCAAAATAAAAAAGTGATCTCAAATAAATTGCCGTCTTTTTTTGTACAGCTGCTCTCAACACCGACCCCACTGTGTTGGGCAAGTATCGCGCCGGTTTCAGCGAGTGCATGAACGAAGTGACGCGCTTTCTGTCTACCTGCGAGGGCGTCAACACGGAGGTCCGAACGCGGCTCCTCGGCCATCTCGCAAACTGCATGACGCAGATCAACGCTATGAACTACCCTAGCCAGCACCAGATCCCTCCCGCGGCCGGACCAACACACCCCTCGTTCGGCCAGCCTATGGTGCAGATTCCCGGGTCCTCCCCACAGGTGCTGCCAATGAGCGGCGTGCCGTGTAAGGGAGCTCCTTCTCCGGCCACTTTACCCAACTCGGACGCCACCAAAGTGTACGGCGGCTTCCAGATTGTGCCTGCCACGGACGGACAGTTTGCCTTCCTCATACCCAACGCTGCGTTTGCCCCCAACGGTCCCGTCATTCCCGTGTACGCCAACAGCCCCGGGACACCGACGCCGGTGCCGGCTGCCGTCTCCCCCGGAGCCCCGTCGGGAAACACGGACTCGGTGTGGCGGCCCTGGTGAACACAGCCAATACTCTCAAATGACACTTGCTAGTTCTCCTTGTTGCGCCATGTTGTTATTTTTTTTTTTAATCAAATGGAAAAAGATTATGCACTATATTTGTACAGCTAACAAAGCCAGTAAAGTTCATATTGAAATGAGATTTGTATTGTGGAAGTCCGTTCACTGCATTTTTTAAAAAAATATATATATACAGTTGTCTTTCCTACTTTTTTGAAGCCAAAGATGTTTAATGCGCTTATGCCGTTCTTCTTTTTGGAAGACAAATAAATTTGTTACTTCTCGAACATTCTTGTTTGTTTTTGAAGTTAAATTTTTATCACAACATAAACCACAGTATTATTAGTTCGTTTGGAACTGACGGAATGTTAGTTTTGGCCAAAATATTGCGAAAAGCTAACCATGTACTTTGAATATTATGTGTTAACTGAAGAGAAAATGTTAAATACTCGCTCATGTTTTATACCAGATCTTGACGAGGTCGAATTTTACTATAGAACTAAACGGTTGTTGCCACAAAGCAGTTGTACACTGCAGCAGACCAATCTAGTGAATCATCCAAATAACAAAAGTGTTGGAAGTCTCAGAAGATCAGAGCACATGATCTGACTCTTGACGGTGGGCCACTTGCACGCGTGAGGTGGCTTTCAGTGGTCACGTACGCCATCTAGCAACCTAAATGCGCATTGCATCCTGGTTATTGTGTGTTAGATCAATGGCCTCGATAGTTTAAAGATGTGTTCTCTCTGATTAAGCTGTACTCAATTTGAAGAAAAATATACCTCCATTAATGTCATATTTATATCATGCAGTCTCAGTTTAGTGCACATATTTTCATTGGAGCAGCACAGTTGTTTCATGGTTAGCATATCTGCCTCACAGTTATGAGGTTCAGGGTTCATATCTGGACTTCTGCATATAGCTGGGAGTCTGCATGCTCTCTTTGTGGTACTCCGGCTCCCTCCCACATTCTAAAAACCTTCATATTTGGTTCAGTGAAGACTCAAAATTGTCCATAGCATACTCTAGTTGCGAACATGAGTGATGGTTGGGATTTAAATTGCTCAAGCACAATTTATGCTCAAATCTTGGCAAGTGACGACATTTCGCTGTCATGGCCAGTTGACATGATTATTTTCATTTCATGTTAATTTATTAGTTAATTGTATAACTGAGACTGTGGGTATTTTTGAAAATGTTTCCACAATGAAAGGAGAAATGTGTTGCACAGTGGACAAGTGGTTAGCATGTCTTCCTCTCAGTTCTGAGGTTCAGTGTCGGATCTCGGCTCAAGCCTTTTTGTGTGGGGTTTTTGTTTCTCCCTGTGCTTGCATGGGTTTTCTCCATGTGCGCTGACTTCCTCCCACAGTCCAAAAACATGCACGCCAAGTTAACTGAAGACTGCCCATTGGTGCGAATGGTTGTTTGTCTAAATGTGGTTGTTTGGCTGGCGACCATTCCAGGACGTGCCCCGCCTATTCACCCAAACTCAACTCAGATAGGCTTCAGCTCATCTGCAACTTATAATGAAGACATTTTCATTTGTTATTCATGCTTAATAAAAATGCAGAAATCTTGGCCTGTGAATTGATTTGAAAACATTTTGCTGTGTCGTGGTCGGATGATATTCATTCTTTTCATTTCATGTTGATGGAGATATAGTTGCTAATAGTACAATTGTGGCTATAGATATATATTGATATTTTTCACAGTCAAAGAGAAAGTGCTCATTGTCCAAGACTTCAAATATTTCCTCACTGGATAGTCTATATGGAGAAAAGTACCTTTAATCAATTTGTCTGTCATGAGTTGGGCGAAACTCGTTATTCCCCATCTTTGTGGGAAAAGTTCAGGGAAGGTGCCTTCTCATTTTGTTCCAGCAAGTGCTCAAAGGAAAGTCTACCAATGCATACTTGGATGAGTTTGGTATGGGAGAACCCAATCAAACACCACTGTGATGAACCACAATTTAAAAAAAATAATAAAATTACAGAACTAGCATTCAGAAATCTCTAGAAGACTGTCTTCAAAGCTGTGGTTAAGAGAACTATACAGTATGTTTTCTGATACGGTCACTTCCTATAGGCTTGATGTGCCCTATACTTTTGTCTGTGTGGCGTGTGTGTGGCATTGGCTTCACAGAATAAAGCGGTGAGTAGCAATACAAAAGCTGACCTTGGTGCTGAATGCCAAATTTGCCCACTTTTGGGATGTTCCACTGTAATCCACACAAATGTGCAGGCAGACAAAAGCATTATATTACTATGGCTATCCTATTAGAGAGGCATTCTTCAGCGCTCATGTGGCTCACAGCATCCTGACATAGTGCGCCATCCATTTAATCAGAACTGTGGCTGCTGTGTGATGCCAGGAGGTTTCATGTTTAACATCCAGCCATGTGGTAGCGCTCTGCTTTGCCCAGGTGTGTGTGCCCCCTCCAGCTATCCCAGTGTGGCCCTTCTTCTTTGAAGCCTGTTTGTGTATGTGTGTGTGCAGGTGTTTGCAATTATCAACGCGCTAAGAGGCACAAAGTGTGGATAAGTGCCATCATTTTGAATTTCCATCACACCTTTATGCGGGGGGTCATGCATCACGGTTTGATTGTAGCCATGTGTGTGCGCGCTGGTGTCGTGTGCTGCATTTGAGGACGTGCCTGGCCAAAGGGCACAGTGAGGAAGGCAATGGGGAGTTAACTCTGTGTAGGCTATACTTGTGTGTGTGTGTGTGTGTGTGTGTGTGTGTGTGTGTGTGTGTGTGATCGGATCAACAGGGAGTTCAAGGAAAGGCCTACCACACAGGACAGCAATGGGCCTCCTGTGAGTGCGAACATCTACACACACACACACACACACACACACACACACACACACACACACACACACACACACACACATTCAAACCCATTCCCACAACGGTCGGTCCAGCTGCACTCCAACGCAGCATCGTGCTTCCTGCCCCACGAGCCCCAGGGCCACAGCTGGACACAGGACGTCTGGGAGGCACGTGGTGTGACCCGGACAACACCCAGCTGCTGAAGATCTCTCAACATCTTCATGATTCCTTCCCGTCCGCAGAACAGCTTTACGAGCCTCTCCAATTACCCGGCGCAGTGGCCGAGCTGCCGCACTGACCGCACACATGTCACAACACGTCCAGGGGGTTAGCCGCCATGCGTGTCCATTAACTTTTCCCACACTCCGCGTGCGTGCAGGGAGTAAAGGGAGGCTGGGGGGTGGGGGTGGGGGGTGGTTAGGGGGTGTTTTTAGAACTCCTCTGCTTCCTCTTTGGCTGCTAAGTGCTACCATATGGTCCTCGCTCTCTCTCTCTCTCTTGCTAACTCATGGTTAGGCTGCCTCTCTCGCTCCCTCTCTCTATTGGCCCGTCACTGCAGGGCTGTCTTTGATTGCGGCCCAGACAAGCGAGAGCTTTATGATTTAAGCCCTGGGCTTGCTGTACCAAGCCCTGGACTCATTTCGAAGACAAGCCCCCCCTCTCCCTCCCTCCTCCTGCAGTTGCAGAGGAAGGCTGTTTTCTGGCAGGAAATGAATAGCTCCCAGATGAGCGCAAGGAACCTGAGAGGTCGTGAGAAAGAGGCGAACCCCCCCCACTCCGCAAGGCCCGGCCTGCTGCCAGCCGCCAGGGGAATGTGGGAGAGCGCCTCTCTGACACACGCATCAACCCCTCTGCCGTCCACCGCACCGCCTGACTGACTGGCTGCCTCCGTGCCGGGCCCCGCGCCCACAATAGACTCCAGGGTAGGGCTAGCGCCACAGAGGCCGGCAGCACGGCTCATCGGCCAGCCAGCCGCCATGGAAAACTGTGGGAGCGGGGAGACGTGAGCCGGAGCTGCGTGGGTGGAGGTGGATCAGTGTATTTCAAACCCGCCCCATCTCTATAATACCGCGGAAAGTTAGGAGTGTGTGAGTCGAGTTTACATTAGCCTCACGTATGACCTCGCATGCACACTTACACGGTCACTCACAAGCTTTCCTCCCACTCTCCCAAAGGCAAACACTCAGCCCCTGGTGCAGGTGTTCCTTCTCAGGAGCAAAGGGTTTTCCCCTTCACCTCCCCGTGTGCTACACTAACATTTATTCCTCGTGATGTTGACACTGTTATGCTTGGATGTGCTATGATGTTTAGCTGCAGCTGCACGGGACTACCCTGAAGGTCTTTTTTGTGTGTGTGTGTGTGTGTGTGTGTGTGTGTTATTTAAATCAGCTTACCTCGGCTTTAGCTTGACATGTGGAGGTAAACTAATTACATAGTCAGTGACATATTCGTTTGCGAATTTAATCATACGTGCCACATTTTAAAAATAGAGTCATTTAGAGCTGTGGTTCTGAAAACAATTAGTTTTAATAAGTAAACCATGGTAGCAGCATGATGAGATAATGGTTAGCAGTGGTGGGAGTAACGTGTTAAAAGGGTAATATGTTACAGTACTATACAGATTTAGATTTATGCGGCAACGAGTTACTCATTTTTCAACATTTTTATCATATTATTCCAGTTACTGAGTCGAGTGAAGCATTACAAAATTGGGGCCACAAGTCAAAAGTAGACTCAGAGAAAGTGTAGGAGTCTACTCAAAAAGTCAATACAGGAATATATCGTTGCGGGCCTCTTTACAATAGACACATCGATCTGAAGGCAACAGAATCAAAACTGCACATTAATTCGTAGTTTCATAGCTCATCTCTGAAAGCTTATCATTGCTTGACCAGGCACGGTGAGAGTTGGAAATCACGTCTTGATGAAGTCCGCACTACCACATCATCTGCAAAAAGAGAGATGCAATACTGAGGCCACCAAACAGGACGCCCTCGTTGCCTTGGCTTTGCCTAGGAATTCTATCCATCAAGGTTATGAACAGAATCTGTGCAAAAGGGCAGCATTGACGGAGTCCAACCCTCACTGGAAACGAATCTGACATCAGTCATACAGGGACCGAACAGCCCGTATCAGGTTGTTTAATAACCCATGCCCCCCACAGAACTCCCAGAGAGACACGATCAAACGTCTTCTCCAAGTCCACAAAACATATGTAGACTGGTTCGACGCACTCCCATGCACCCTTGAGGAACCTGCCGAGGAGCTCGAGTTGGTCCACTGTTTTACGCCCAGGATTAAAACTACACTGCTTCTCCTGAATCTGAGAGCATCTTTAAATACACCTTACCAGGGAGGCAAAGAAGTGTGATCTCGTTGTAGTTGGAAGTCACCCTCCCATCCCCCTTCTTAAATAGATGGACCACCACCCCAGTCTGTGACTCCAGAGGCACCGTC